AATGGTGACGATCATAATGCTTCCTATCAGTAGGTATGAAAAAGTGTTTTAGATGTAATTTAAAACAGCTTTGTTCTTCCCAATGAATTGACAGTAATATCAAATGTACCATTTTTGATGGAGAAAAATGCTTCTTAAAAGAAGCTTATCAAACTCAAGCGATGAAGAGAGAAAGCAGGTCCCTTTTAGCTGTGAAACCTTGATAGCGACTAAATGGAAGGAACGTGATGTTCTTGCCTTGGTGATGCACGCTCTGCCTTGGTGATGCAGGGCTCAGGCTTCAAAACACGTGGCTTTTCACTTGGGCTTGAGCCTGAACAGGTTTGAACCCTTAGCTCCCATATCCCAGGCGGGCGTTTGAACCGTGCCATGAGGGTGTGCTCTGGGCAGGAGTGCTTGCCACCATCCCACGGAAGGCAGCGGTGCAACCAGCCACGAGATCAGAGAGGAGGTCGGAAAGGTGGGACCTGCCCGTAGCCTCGCAATCGGGTCACTGCTCCCAGCGCAGTTTCTGCTCTGCTGTCCCTGCTGAGGGCAACGAAATGTAAAATTCACCGACGTTACAAGGCACAGGGAGGGGATTCCCAGGTCTGCCCCATCCCGGGAGGGGGAGCCGGGCTGGCAAGCACGTGCAGACCTGTGCAAGCTGAGCTCCTGCGGTGCAGAGCTCCTGACCAAGTGGCGGGGATCAGATGTAGCCGGCACGGTTTGGTTCGGTGCCTCGCTGGCAGGGGAGTTCAAACCGGGGGTGAAGCAGGGTGGCCTCGATTTGTCTGTCAGTTTTCCTTACAGACGGCTCGTGCGTTCTCTCTTGCATTGCTGTCCTTTTTAAGGATGTTAATTTGGAGGAAAAAAAAACAAACAGCAAAAAACCAGCAAAACCCAACAAACTGAATTAGAAACCTGAACTAAATGACATTTACTCTGTATGTTTTACAAGTCCAGCATGTGCAAATAATCCACAAATTTGAGTGAAGAAGGGTACTTGCAGTCCTTGTATTGATAACCTGCTTACTTACTGAAATGCTACCAGTGTTAATTACATTTTATCTTGAAATGTACGAGTGCCTTTAGAGTGGGGTTAGTAACATGCACCAAACTCCGATTGATTTCTTTTTCTTCTTGGTAACAGCTGTAGGTGTAAATGATTACAGTGGTGATGTATGGCTTTGCTCAGTTTTGAGCATTCTGTTAATTTTAGTTGTATTGATCTTTCAGGGTGTCTGTGCACAAAAAGAAATGGTGTTTCTTCAAAATAATCGTGAATCGTCTTAAAGGGTGACAAAGTGTCACTCTTCTGCTCTGCAGAGCAGATGCGGCATGGGACCTTTTGACACGGTCGTCTCACCAGGCCTTGGCATGATCTCTGAACCCTGCCATTTTAATTTGTTCCTTTCATGATGGCAGCACTGAGGATACTGTGATCCCGACTGATTAATTCATCAGTCCTACGGTTTCTGTGGGAAGCTATTCTTTTCATTACAGACAACGTTTTGAAGGCAGGAAATGAGTTTGCCGCTTGCTTTAATAACTCGCACAAGGCTTATTTCTTTCTCTTCGCATGGAGAGATGATATATTAAGCTAGTGAATGTAGCTTTGAGTAACATTCACGTTTTTATTAAGACATAAAATAATCACAGGAGTTCCACACTTATAAATGTTACAAAATATAAATAGTACTCTTCTATAGATAAACTTTTCATTGGTTTTACAAGACAATACTACTTAAAGCACTTTTAATGGTCTGTAGTCTCAATTGAATTTTTCTCTCTTTTAATGAAGAATTGCCTCTGCCGCGGTTTATGGCGCTGAAAAATGACAGTGAAGTACGTTACGGGACTCCAGCAGAACTCCATGGAGTTAAATTTCAGGTTCCACATGCAACTTTGGAAAAAAATTCCTACAAAAGAACAGATGAAGGGGACAAACAGGTAACAGGCCCGTCTCCCTCAGGCCAGTATGTCGTTATTTTGGGTCCAGTCCTGTAAATGATTACAGTCACATGGGCTTACTCAGTTTCGCAGTGCTAGACAGGAGGTGAACTCCTGACATGCAAATAATCCCCGTTGGGGTTGTGCTCTGATTTTGATGCATCCCAGTTGCATCCCTGAAGGGGATTTCTCTATATGAGTCTGTATAAAGCTGTCAGCCCTGTAATGTTCTGTATAAGTTCTTTCAGTGTTGTCCTCCTACTTAGTCCAGTGCTGTTTCTTGGAGAGGACTAGAGGAAGAGCAGCAAATAGAAATCTGTCTGTGAAACAGAACAGGAAAGTGAGCGATTTCTCAGTGCACCAGTGTGATCCTTAGTCACTACAGAAATATTCAGTTGGAGAAGAGGTGTTGAATCACGAGCCGCTATTTCTGGGTGGGATGAGGCCACCAGGTTTTCTTCCATTCTAGTCTCCCCCAGGAGTAGTCCAGAAGAAATCTGCTTTTCTTTTGTCCTCAGTGAAACATCATCCCAGCAGCTGTTGTTCTGAGTTGCCAATTTAATAAAGCTGTCTAAGGGAGATTTGTATTACCTGTATTTAGGAGAGTTGAGAGTGCTTATTTCAGATGCAAGTGGCTTCACAGCACAACCTTGATTTTCATAATTTTCCCCAGGCCTGGCACTTTCTCTTCTGGTACCGTATCATGTCATGTTGTAAATGCCTGGTGGCAGGCGCTTTATCGTCCTATAACGCGTGCACACGTTTATCACACGGTGCGTTGGCGTGAGTAACAGCGTTCCCAGCCTGAGGTCAACCAACGGGAATGAGCTGATGACAAGATACATGGGTGGAATAACAGGATGAGGCATAAAAGCATGTATGTCTATCTGCCTGTGTGTACTGACACTGAAGCAGAATGCTGCCCTCAAACCCCTGGCTCTGTCTAGGCTATCTGTGTTGCGTTATATTTTCCTTTTTACACAGTAAACTGTTTCAGGATCACATCCTCTTAATCTGTTAGTCAAGGTAAAGAGAATGCTGTAGGATAGATACCCAGTGACACCTACAAATCCACAAAGTGCTTAAAGTACCAATTCAGAGATTTATCTTAATTGTTCATAAGTGTTTTATATGAAAAATGCTGTCCCACAAAGAATGCAGTCACCCTAACTAAATGTGTTATGTAAATTCAAAGATACCCACTCACATTAAGCATTCCACGTATACTTCTTCAGCATCTTTTGGAAGTAAAATACCTTCAGCTGTTCATTGTAAAGCTTTGCTATGGCACTGCCACGCCTTACCTCTAGAAGGCTCAATACCAAATTCTGTCTTTACCAGCTTTTGTTTTTTAAGGAGCCTTTTCTTGGAAATAAAGGGCCACAGGGAACTACAGCGTTTGCCTTTTCTTTGTCCATCCTACTGTACGCGTTCAGATTGCCATGCAGGATTACTTCGTTGTTTTGCTGTCATCTCAGAATTCCATTTTGTGTTGGTGTGTTTTTGAAATAGGAACCCAAGTCTCCACCGATGTCTCCAATCTGCTCGCCTCCTGCTTCTCCATCTACTTACCAGAGAATACCCTTAAGTTACGGATATGGTAAATCAAGAAGTGGGCTGGAGCAGCAGCATGGAGGTAGGATAAAAATTGGAATATGCATATTGTATTCAGTTCTTTTTTTTTTTTTTTTCTCAGCAGCATCCAAATTTCAAATGCAACTGACAATCAGCCTAATAATTTTAACATTTAATTAGACCTGTATTTTGGAAAACGATTCAATCATCTAATTTTATTTTGATTGTTCAATGCTGTTTGCTTTCTCGTAAATTAATTAGATTTATGTGTCGCTGCTCACAGATAAATGCTAATACCTAATCTCTGACAAGAACTATGTGCAATATAGCCCAGTGACAGAGCATTTGTGAGTATTTTTAGAGTGCATGATGCTTTTGGTTTCATTAGAGGGGAAGAAAAGCCCAGTCCTGATTTCAGTAGCTGCTATATTAGTTTTCAGATTGGCAGTGAACCTTCCTTTGCAGGAAAGGATAATAATCTCTCTGGTTTCATAATGGAAAGAACAATAGGACATGAATATAAAAACAATCCCACAACGTAACTTAGGCAAAACAGACAAAAATAAGGCACTACATAGACGCTCTGTCCTTGATCTCACTACCATTAGAGTAGGTGGCAAAACATTCTGATTTTAGTAAGAGGGTAGTGGGGCAGAAGCCAGTTTTACTAAGGCTTTACAAGCTCTCGTTAATAGCAAGTTGCCTGTGCTCTCCTAATTACAACATCTAGTGACCAAGATGGTGGCAATAGTAGGCATTGGCGTATACCATCCCTCCATCATCCCTCCTGCTTTCAGTTAGTGTGTTTGCAGTGAGTGAGGAGTGGAGCTTGCTAGTCCTTCAGCTGTTGTCCTCGTTTACAAATGAATGAAAACACAGAGCTGCTACAACATTTTGAAACTCACTACAGCCATGGTAAGAATGTGTTCATCCTATCACGTGGCCTTCACGTGAAAATCATACCAGTACTGAGTCACAGGCATTCATTTGCCAGTTAGCTAAACTGCTGTTTGTTCAGAGATGGGATTTTTCCCCACCCGACCCTTGGCAGAACTGATAAAAACAGTGATGGTTGACTTCTGAAATAAGCAACACTAGCGAGGTTGTCTTCTGGTACGACGTGCGTTCTGCTCCAGTGAAGACGACATGTGGCAGATAGCCCACACGCTGAAGAGCCGGGCAGGAGGTGACCATCGGGAGCAGCCGACCGGCTTGCATGTTGTGCGCTCTGCTGTTTTCTGGGACTCTGTCCCAGATCTGTCAGTGCTATGGGGGAGGGGAGGTATTTTGGGTGTTGGGTTTTTTTTGGTCTGAATTTGGTTGCAATCGTAACTTCAGTGAAAATTCTCATGGTGTCAGCGGCTGTGCAAAGTGAGTAGAGGCAGCGGCGTCCAATCCAGCTGTCAAATTCTTCTAAAATGAATTATTCAACTGCTTGAATTTTTAAGGTGATAAAATCCTAGAGGTGTAGAACACTATGTTTATTTTCCAGAAAGGGAATCTCTCCTATTTTAATCCCACTGGGGGTACTTCAGCCAAGTGTGTTTTAGTGGCAGTAAGCGGGTAACGTTTTATGGCCCATGCTGTGCCAAGCGCCAGGCTAGGTGACCTGCTGGTTCTTCCTGGCCTTTAAGATTAGGACCCTTCCACTTTCCTGAAGAGCAGTCGAAAGGGTGGGTCTGAAAGCCACCGCGTTGGTGTATGCACAGGAGGTGCTAGTGCCACAGCCCTGAGCTGGGTGGGCTGTTCTGTACTGCAAGTCTGACCCTGAAACGGGACAGTGTGTCTTCAGGGGCAGCCCTTCGCGCTGCAACCGTGATTAGAAGTTACTTGTACAGGCATAAAAATAGATACCAATACAGGATAAGACCACTCAGGAAAGCAAGGGTGATTGTCTTAAGGTCTTCCTGAGCTCAAAATGTTTAAGATTTCTTGGTCTCACTTTTCATCAAGAGTCTTTTAAGTTCTGTCTATCTAGAGACAGACTGTCTTTGTAGTGATAGATTTTAAATAGGCTGGCAGCAGAAGTTTTCAGCTCTGTAAGAGTTTGCAAATGAGTTGCCTTTGTGTTTGCATACATGACCTATTTTTAAAACATTGTTCTTAAACGTGCTGTTATGTCACTGCTTACTATATTTGCTGCAGTGGAACGTAAGTGACTTATTTTAGCAAAAGAAGAAGTAATTGTTACTTTTCTTTACTAGCTTTACTCCAAATAATGTGAAGTGGTGAGTCATGTATTTTGATTTTCAACAGAAATTAGGGAAGGGGGAAGAAGACTATATGGAAAATTAGTGATGTACTGTTTGATAGCATTGTCAAAGCATATTTTTTTTGCAGCTCAGTTGAATTATTTCTTCTTATTTGTAATGCCTTCTTGTGCTATATGTGGCTGTAAGTATAAAAAAATGTATAAATATATAAACAGGCTACTTAAATATGTATTTCAACGTGATGAACAATGATTTCTGTTATCTAGTAATATATAATTGACAGTTTCTATCAGTAATGTCTGAAGAAGAATGATGTAATGTGAAAGACAAGTATGTGGCTGGAATTTTGTTGCAGAAGACAAAATGGACTTTGATACTGTGATACTAGGTTCATAAGCTAGATTCTCAACCTTGTGTTATTTAATTATTTCCTTTAGCCTAGTAGAATCTTTTTTATTATCCTTTCATTTATATACTGTTTTATACTATTATATTATTAAAATATACTATTTTAAATGTCTGTAGCTCCTTATGAAGTCAGACACTCTACTCACCAGCAAGATGGACCATCATCAGGGAATTATGGAGCCAAACCTGCACACTGTTCAACTCTTAATCGGGTAATGAATTTTATGTTTTTCTTTAGTAGTACTACTAATAAAACAATAGAGAAATTAAAAAAAAAAAAAAGGGCAGAAGAATTCTCTTCACTTTTGAAGTGTTCTCCATGGTGTTTTCAGACTAGAGGCTGAGGTGTGCTTTTTTAGTATATGAAAAAGAAAAAAACAAAGCTGATGGGAAGGAGAAATTAAAATAAATAATCCAATTAATTAAATTGCTGAAGCTAAGTAGAATGAGAAGGACCAAATAGCATAGATAGGAAAACTAGACTGAGAATCTTCAGTTCAAAAGTAAAAAAAAAATAATTGAGGTTATCCTAGCAAAAATAAAAGATTTTAATTTAAAATAGATGAGGTTTCACAGAGATTCCTGCGTTGTTTAGAATGCCACCTGTAACACATGCACAGAATTTATGGCCTAATATTCTGCATATTCTGCTTTTATTCCTCAGTTGGTTAAATTGCATCTCAAACAGAATAAATGAATTTCTGGATATTTGTTTGCTTTTATGAGATGGGTCCTGTGTTTTCCTGCTGGTTGCAAAAGCAGATCTTTCCGATGTTCCAGTATGCCTGCTGTGCACTGACTATGCAAACAGGTAGTTTGCCCTGTGGAAGGACAAAGCTCTCCTAAGGGAGAGCGTTTCCTAAATAAATAAGACTCAAAGACTGTACCTTTTCCCTAGTGCTAGGGAAGTGCTACCACCCCACAGCCATAATAAGTCTTTTCACGCAGGAAAAGATGTACAGGTAGTGTCACATAATTTGTGCTAACTTGAAATGAAATTGGGTGCATTTGTGTAGCACTCTGAAATGAAAATTAATTTACTGCTTTATGATGTTGCCTGTTTCGGGGATCTCTTGATGTATTTTAGAACCGGTGTTTTGCGTTTGAGCCTTAGGAAATGGACAGGTAGGTCAGAGAAGGGGTTGCAAGGCTGGTTGGAGCCTGATTATTGTTCGTTCTTGCCCTCCCTCTTTAAGAGTGTTGTCATCCAGGCTTAAATCTTGAATACTAAGTCATTCCAGTTTAACAAAGGCACAAATTGTACCGGCAGCCCGCTTCCAGACACCACCACCCAACCTCCCTTAAACAAGTCAATCAGAAAGCAAAGACATAAATGGATAAAATGTCCTTCTCCTCCAGAATATTCTTTTTGCTGAAGGAGAATTTTTACCTGAACCATGGGAAGTGACAGAAGGTTGAGGAGGTCTGCAGGGGTTTGCATGTCTCCCTGGCTCGGCATAATGTGTGCAGAGTCACCTGGGTGAGCGGAGTGTCCAGAAGCAGTATAGCTCCCTAGTTACAGCACTCCTAGACTAAATACATAGTTTCTTAGCAGAGCTAAATTTTCACGCACCTTGCTGCATAAATACAGCTTTAGGTCCTTCACTGGTTCCATCCATTTCAGGTGTACAGTGTGCAAGTTCAGGGTTGTAATGCATGGCAGCCAAAACGAACCCCCAAAATGAATCCAGAGGTGTGACTTAGACTTTCTTTTTTGCGGTCAGCAGTAGTAAGATTTCCTTTTTCTTTAAGCTTCAGTCATGTAGACTTCCTTTAATTGCCTGCTTAAAGATACCTAATATTACCCTCAGCTTTAACAGATAAGAAGTGGGACGGTAATCAGGGTGGCCATTTCCGCTTCTCATCTTTTTAAAATACGTATCTGCTAATAGAAGAGAGCGAATCTGGTTTCTTGAGGTGGCCAGTGCCCTGCTTGACCCTTCTGGCCCCTGCCTGTGGCCGGTGCCAGTGTCCCTCCCTTCAGTCTCTTTCAGCGGAGCGGGAGCAGCAGGACAGCAGCGCCCACTACTCGGATGACCCTTGGAGGATAACGGAGGAGCAGCGAGACTACTACATCAACCAGTTCAGGTCCCTGCAGCCCGACCTGAACTCCTTTATTTCAGGTAACTTTTACCAAACACTATGCATGTTGAGTAGAGGGACCAGGCTGAGAGGTGAGAAGTGTTAAGTAGATAGATTAATTCTTTATTCTCTCTGGAGTGAGTTTATGAGAAAGAGTTGATTGTGTCTTCTTTTTAAAGGCAGACAACTCAAAGAGCAAACCAATACTGTGGCCATTATGTTTTTTCCTAAACATCCTGATTTTAGAAAAATAATTGCATCTGAGGGAGAAGTGTTGGCAATTCAGTAAAAATTAAAATGAGCTCTCTGTATTTGATCCACTATATTTGTGAATCACACCTGCAGTGTATATTGAGCTAAGTAACCTCTTAGGGTTGTGCTTGCTTTCCCAGCACAAATGTGGCAGCATCCATGTGGTGAAAGTGAAGTGTACAGTTAACTGTCTTGTGTGGTCAAGCCTGAGTGTTTATGGCTCTGAGGGACTGAGATTTTGACCTTTAGGTGATTAAAAGCAAAGCCTGGAGAGCACACACATGGTAAAAGTATTGTTAACAGCGTATTGAGATTGCGTTTCCATCCTGAATAGGTGGATCAGGCTGCTCGTGGGAGGAGTCACTGCAGGTACAGACAGTTGGTCTGGTAAGGAAGACATCACAGGTTTTAAAATGAGGCAGCTTTACTGAGCCCTGCTGTATTACTGGGGTTCAGGAGGCTTGGATCCAGCCAAAAGTTTAAATAAATTACCTGCTAGTGACAGAAATTAGTGCTTCACCAGTTCTTTGCCTCAGTTAAGTTTCCTTCGTATGATTTGCTTGAAAGAGAAAATGGTTGTTCAACAACATTGTATTTCCTCACAGACTCATATATGTCTGTAACTGTGTATGTATGTATATATGCATATACAACCTCTCAGGTAGCAGTGCATTTTCATTTATGTTGAGCAAGATTCTCAGGCAGTCCTTGCACATCCAAAATTAGTTTATAAATGATAAATTTGAGCTTCCACAACATCCTAAAATAATTAAGCTGTAGAAATCCTTGCTGCAGGGTGATACAGATGCTAGAGGTTTGTCCAGGTTTAAGAAGTTATTTGAGAAATCTGTGATTGAAAAACCTGTCAGAAGTTACTGAATATTGAAGTGCTACTGGTTGAGAAAGTTCCTGAATCGCAGGTGGTCAGAGGTTGGGGATGTTCTGGAGCTACGTTATTATCACGTGGCTTTGTCATGGTCACATAGTCCTCTCTGGGCATCCAGTGTTGGAGAGGACATGCTGTGCTAGGTGAGTCTTGGACCTGCCCCAGTTACGGCTTTTCTTATGCCCTGCAGTGGGTGATCTGACCTGCATGCGCAAGGAGAAGAGTGGTGTAGACCTTAGAAGTCTCTGCATTACGTTGCCTTACGTTTTGTAAGCCTATATGCAGGAAGGGCTTCCAGGGTACAGGGATCTTGTGCTACCCCTATAGTCTGTGTGTGGGGGATGGTGAAATAATGGATTTATTAGCTAGGAGAAGAATGAGAAGGGCTGTTGTGGCAGGATGAGTGAGAATGCCTGCAGCAGGACAGTAGCTGTGTGCTATCTGAATCTCCTGGGGTTTTTTTCCTTTTTTTTTTTTCCCCATAAAATTTGAGCCACTGCAGGGAAAAGTCGTGGTTGAAGCAGCGTCTTGGGAGAGCAGTACAGACGCTACAGCACTGTACTGCCATACACATGGCTTCTGGGTGAAGCAGAGCCGTTTGTGTCTGTTATTTCATCACTGGTGACATACTAATTACACTGGTTAGAATCACTAGTACTGAAGTGTTTTTTTTCCTTTATTTATTTTTCCCATATGGAGGGAATGGGAAAATGAGGTCAACAGCTCTGTCTGGCTTTCTTTGTCACTTATTCAGCAAGAGACAAATGGTCCAACAGCTATATTAGCATCCAGTTAATCTGAGTGTCTTTCGGATGTAAAGTAACCAGCTGCTTCTTGTGCGGCAGCCCTGGCCAAAGGTAAATAATTGGAGAATTAATTTCCAGTGGTTGATAAGGCACGGTTTCCCAACAGGTTCCGTGGCAAAGAATTTCTTCACAAAATCAAAGCTGCCCATCCCAGAGCTTTCTCATATCTGGTAAGTACTGTAATAGTGTTGGGGATGTGTATCCTGTTTTTTTAAAAGATGCTTAATTCAAGAGTTCTTGTTAAATTTTGAAAAGTGTCTTCAATTATAATTATTGCTCTTATCTCCAGAATCACTTTCAGGCCCAAGCAGCAGGGTGCTCATTGCTCTTCCTGACACGTTTGTTTTCCGGAGAGATGTTCGCCTACTCAGCAGGACTGGGAAGGTTTGAACAGCAATATAACTGAGAGCTGTTCTTAAGTATATTGTAAGCAGCATCATTAGCTCAACAAACTGACATTTTTCATGAACTGACACAGAGGAGAAGCACCTCTGGAATGTTTTAGATGTGTTGTTGGTTTTATGTTTCTGGCTGTGTTTTGCCAGAGGAGGCCTAATTAATGCCTAATTTTTAGTAAGTACAACTACATAATTCATCAGTGCTTTTCTTACGAACCAGTACACTTACTTTTAATGAGCTTATTTAGAAATGATTGTGGATGGAACTGTACATGATAAAATTTGACAAGGATTCTATTGTATTTTCATAAACAACATGGTGCTTTGTAATTCAGTGTCATCCTTGCGTCTCGGATAAGAAGAACAGACAGTTTTAAACGTTGATCAGAAATGCTGATAGAAGTTTTACTTTTGTATATGCTTTTATGAAGAGAGATGAGAAGAAACGCTTGCAAGAGCCTAAACATCTGTTGGGGTCAAAGAATATGTCTGGAATCTTTTCAAAGCGGACTGTCAGTTGTGAAAATAAAAAGAAAAAGATTGAAGAAACATAGTGTTGGGGGAAGTGAATATTGGAATTTAAATTTAAGATTACTTAAGAAGAATAGATTAACCCAATACATTAACAAAACGCGTTTTATCTCTATTGGTGACACAAGTTGTCCTCTGTGTAAAATTTAAAGAAAAGTATTCCTCTCTAGTAGATAATTACAATTTTGTGATGATGTGATCTATCAGGTTGTGTTGCTGTGTTAAACACATTGGGATGTTTCAGTCTTTGCCACTAAACCTCAACAGCTTGAAAAATGCTCATTACTTTCAAAGAGTAGGAAGTTATATGTTTGTGTTAGTCCATGTGCTCATGATAAAACATTACTCAATTCTGGCAAAGAGTTAGTTTATAGAATTGAATTCTTGAATTTCTGAAGTCCAGTTTTACTGTTTGAGAAGCATCCTAGAATTAGAGAGAACTGCTTTAGTGAGAAGTTCACAATAAAATTTAAACTTGTCAAGAGCGTTGATTTAGCTCTTTTCTTGAGGCTAGTCAGTGGTGCTAAGTAACCATTGCTGAAGTCCGTTTTTAACTTTTTCTGCTTGAACTGGTTTAAGATCCTGCATTGGATTGGCCAGAAGTGCTTCCAACCACTGGAAAATTAATTTCACCCTTGGAAGTACAGGATAGGTATTTCATGTTGTAATATATACATACCATCATATTGTATGGTATAATGTATAACAAAAAACGTACTTTATTAAAAAAGAAAAAGGCGGTAAGTCAGTACTAGAAAATTAGCTTGCTTCATTTTCCTCAAGACAAATGTCCAAGTTAGGATCAAGTGCAAATGACAGAGATGCTTGTCTTGCATTAAAATACCCCTTCTCAAAGTCGCATTCCTGTCTCCCCCATGATTGCACACATATGTTTCCCTGAGGTAGTGACTTGGAAAACGTGTGCCTGTCTTGCCCGCAGGGAGCTGAGCGATGTGGATTGCGACGGGGCGCTGACACTCCCGGAGTTCTGTGCCGCTTTCCACCTCGTGGTTGCGAGGAAGAATGGTTACCAGCTGCCGGAGACGCTGCCGGAGACGCTGCTGCCCGAGTACCTTCAAGCAGGTAAAGTCCCTGCGGCAGGTCGTGTTCCTGTAGCTGTCTCAGGAACCCAGCGTCCGTGTAAGACAGGTTTCATTTTCCATCCTGCTGGTAGGACGGGGTTCTACACTGCGTAATGGCTCTTTGGTTGCTTTTAATGCATGAGTTTTTAATTGTGCTTACAAAGCAATTGCTGAAGAAGGAATTGTATAAAAGCACAAAATAGCGATGCAAAGTGTAGCAGTTACCTACCTCCTAATGTCTGCCTCTTTGCTCCAGTGTGCTTCAGGTGTCATTATAGCTAAAGTGGCAGATTTACCTGTAGCAAAGATAAACCAACAAGACTTACATAGTTTTTAACTCTTGATGATTTTTCCCTTAAGTATCTTGTCTCTTGAAGCTGTGTTGAAAATGATACTGGACTGCTTTAGAACTTACTATGCTAATATATTTTGTTAGATGCAGTTACTGGTTGTATGAAAGGTTGAATTTTTTTGTAATCCACAGATTCTTCTATAAGTAATTTGCAGTAACGATACAACAGTTTGTGCATCACAAGGATAAATTAATCCAAAATACAACACACCTCAGTATCAATGTGCAGTGAGAGACCTGCCCTTTCATTTGTTCTCTTCAGTTATGTCTCTTGTAATTATAAATGAACATTGAAATATAAACTGTTCCATCTAAAAAAATGTGCATGTCTTTCTAGGGCAAGGAGGATTAATCACAGTTCATAATTACAGTGCTAAGGGATAATATTTAAGACCTAATAAAATCTCCATTAAATTTGATGACACTGAATATATTAAAAGACAGGAAAAAAGCAAATCAAGCTGTAGTTAGGAAAATTAAATGTTCGCCCTGTATCAGATTTGTGAAGTAATTTCTGGTGGAGTCGTGTTCCTTACAATCAATCCACTATCTTTATATCCAAGGGGAGAAGCTCCTGTAAAACTTGCACCTCCAAGTCTTCATCACTTTTAGTCTCTCTAATTACATTCCCTTGTCATAATTACAACTATACTTTTCCCTCCAGGACCACCACTTTGTTTGCTATTCTCACGCCTGTTCTCATCATAAATTAGCTTGTAAGCTCCTCCATGCAGGTTCTTGTTGGTGTGTCTTCACATTAAGCCTTTTTGGGGAAAACTGCAATGGAAATGGCTATCTCTAATAGTAGGGGATCATTATGTCAATGGGAGGAAGAGCATGTAAGCTATGGTTGTTCCCTGGGAGTCCTCTTTTTCCCGAATTTGTCCCTTTCAGCACTGGGGTCTCTACCATTTTCTTAGAAGATTATTGTTTCATGGTGTTGCACACAACCAAGCATTTCAAGCTGATCTACGTGGAGGAGGTGAAAGGACCAATTGTTTGTTGTGGGCACTCTAAATACCTCAGCTAATATGCTAATTCTGGTTAGCTTGAGGGTCTGAAAATGTCTCGTGCTTGTTGTGCTGCCTAGTCAGGATTCAGAAATCTGTCTTTTGAAAGACTTGCATTAATAAAAAGCAGAACATCTCAACACACTGTAACACCGTGAATCACAAGAAAGCATAGAGCCTTGGTTGTATCAACTTCCGAAATGAAAACATCGATAAGTAAGCAAGTGCCTCATACACTTACCTAAAATGTCAAAAGAAATTTCAAAATAAACCTTTTGTTTTCATAATTTGATTTCTGTGAAATTTAGATTTGATTTTTTTTTGGCTTGTTAGGAACCCGGTGAAGATTAGTGGAAACTGTTTTTCATTAGGTGGTTGTATTAGTTTCAGAATGAGGCAGAATTTGGTTCAAGTGAAATATTTGCATCTGATAAGAGTGTTAAAGCTTCAGATAAAGTGGCTTGGAGCATAAGACGGAGCATTTAAGAATGAATTAATCTTGCTAGCTTTATGGCTTGTTCTATAAACTACAAGCACAGGGCCAAATGCTATCCTGGCACAGCTCCATTGACAATTTGATCCACCACCTTCTTTTCTGAAAGTTTTTATTAAAACTAATTTACAGAATCTGTAAGGCTATTTGCCCTGTATGTAACCCACTGTATTGTAAATTAAGACAGATTTGTGAGAGCTTAATTTATTCAGGTAAACTAGATGCTAGGCAGAAACTAGAAATTTGAAGTGAGAACTGGTTATTCTGCCTTTCAATATATTGATCTTAAAGAAAAGCTGTTTTCCAGCTGTTAAGACAGATTTATCTCAGAGGAACTAATCCCAGAGTGATAATCAGTAGAAGGATCTGAGTTTGTGGAATAGAAATTAGGTTCTTGTGAATATTCCTGTGAGAAGTTAGAGTTTTATTCCCCCCCCCCCTTTTTTTTCCTGCTTTCAATGCTGTTTAGTTAAAGATGGTATATACTGCAGCATCTACTGTGTTTAGTGTCCTTGGTTTTTGCTGGCCTTCAATTTCAGTGTATAATGTAGATTCTACTATACTTTTCAGTATTCAAAATGTCAAAAGTTGGAGTTGAAGGTTTGGTAAGTACCTTTAACATTCCCAAGACAGCAAGGTATAAACTATAAGGCCAACTATCTTGATACTGGACTGTGAGGAGGAAAAATGCAAATAAACGGTTGTTGTTCAGCAGTTAATGTTTACTAAAAATCACTTCTCCCAAATTTCACCATTATTTCTACAACAGAAATTAACGGTATCCCTTTCGTAACATTGAATTACTCAAAATACAAGACAAGGATTTTCTTCATGGTGTTTGTCATCCGTGGCTTATAGATCAGCTCTGATATGTAGTAACGAAGGGTAATATGATGCTGGAACAGGTTTTTAAGAACTGTGTATTAACCAAAGACTTGGCATGTCTCCTCCCCCCACCCCCCCCACCCCCTGCAGCTTCTTTGAAGCCCATGCGTGACTGCGCACTATTTGATTCTTATTCTGAGTCGTTGCCAGGCGGTCAGCAGACTCGGGACTTCAGTCGGACTGAGGTAAGAAGGCATAAGCAGGGTGGTTACCTTGCAGAGTGCAGAGGAATAGCCCAGCTTCAGAACTGACTGTGGTACGCGTGGCAGCAGAACTGCGAGTCTTTGAGAGGACTTCAGGAGTCTCTAAGTGTGCCATTAAGCCATCTCAACCCCCTCTCTCAGCAATTCGTTCAGTGTGTGGAAAGGGCTGACAGGTTTTCCGTAAGATATTCCCACGTAACAGAGTTCACAGTAGTCATCGAGGGATGCCAGCCTTGTGCGGTGTTGGAGTCTGCAGAGAAAGAGACCTTAGCTGTTCGTGTCCCACGGGGCTGCATTTGGCCCTCCGGCGTTGGGAGCCAGCGATGAGGGGCAGAGCCCGTGCTGCAGGAGGGGCGGTGTGGTGCAAGGACAGTGCTCAGGTGAAATCTCTCCTGAACCTGAATTGGTTGAAAATGGCAGGCTTCGGGTGCAGACCTTGTTCTAGTCAGGCGCTCCTGACCGTGTAGCTCTTGAGTGTTTCTTCCATTTACAGTGCTCCATTTCCACACTCGCTCCCCCAGTTTTGATGATGAGAAGAAGAATGTCTTGGCCTGTCCTGATTCCTTGTGCTTTGCTTCTTTGGAGACTGAAACTGTCCCAGATTTTGTACAGTATGGACATGCATAGTTCTGTTCTAAGTGATTCAGTCTGCATTTTAATATCCAGCCTTTTCATACTCTAAAGAACTACCATCTAAGGGTCTAGGTAGTAATTGTAAGGAGCCGGGAAGAGTGTTTTGAGGGAAGAATGGAGATCCATTGTAGCAATACCACAACAGATACCAGCCTTGTAATGGAAGACTGTTGCAAGCAAAACTAAATTAAGGAGAAGAGTTTATCACTGAGCTTAAAAACCAAAACTGTAAAGATCCCGTAACACTGAACTAACCACAGCCACAGAATTGTGCCCGGATATTGCAACTGAATACATACGCTGTGGGATTTAAGGATTTAGTATTTAAGGTAGTGAATCAACTGGCAGACAGACTGCAAGAACGGGCCCTTCTGACGCTGCTTCCAAGTTTAAAAAGTAATGGTATGTCATGGCAGCTCAGCAAGGCTGTTCCCCAGTTATTTCCTCCCTATGCCTTGCTCTGGGGAGTTCCTGCGTCAGAACCCAGCCGTTCCCTCATCAAATTCAGCTCGGTAGCGGCACCACCAAACAGACTCTCCTAAGCTGCTACAGAGCGCAATGTTCGCTTTGGGCAATGCTGCAGCCAATGTTTTGAGCATCCCGTTTATCTTTTGGAGCTGTTAAAATATATGCAGTCTCCGTGGGTGATATTGCTCTTTGTGCAGCAGGTTGGCCAAAGTACAGCAGTCATACTGGGTTTTGAAAGGAGCGCCGCTGTTCTGGTAGTGCGGGCTGCTGGTATGTTGGCAGCGTAGGCAGGTCCTTTACCATAGCAGAATGGCCTTGTCCCTTGCATATAACCTTATTTTGGAAGGGGGGTTCACAGGGGGCTGCGAGAGTGTGCCACAGGCCATGCTGCACTAGCACTTCTTCACTGTGCAGTCATGTGGCAAAGCTCAAAAGTCCCTTGAGAGTGTGCCTCATTAGCATACATGCGTGTTGGTTTGCAATTTAAACAAGCATAAGAGGCAAAATTCAAGGACATTTGCATTGAAAACTCATTTGCTGATGTCAGCATGTCTGTCTATGTACGTATATACATAGCTCCATTTCCAGACTGCAGTAAGAGTCAACTGAGTATTTGAGTTAACTCGATGCATCAGCTTAAGATACTCGATTTTAGAGAGAATTACTTGCCTTCTGCTTAAAAACTGTCACGTCCCTGTTAGGATGGGGTTTTTTTTGGCGGTAAGCAAAACCCGAGTGTCAGCTTCTCTTTTTCACTTGTATTTTCACGTGCATGTACAAATACACATGCATATATTTAAAAAAAAAGAGAGAGATACAATATATAATTAAATTACATTAAAAATATATAATTATGTATCTTTTATACGTATAATTAAAAAGCTTCAGTTTATGTAACTACTTGACTTCGGAATCTACATCAGTATCTCTGTGGCCTAGGGAGCCCTTGTTTTTGTTAGGATACTGGCTTTGCAAGTGATTACCCAGATATGCAAAGTGGTCTTTGGTTATTGCAGAGTTGTGAGGAAGTTTGCTCTTTAGTAGCGCAGGCCTTGGGGCTGTGAGATTAGAACGTTCTTTTACATATTTCAGAAAGCTCAGAAATCTTGCTTTCAGAGTCATCTTGTTTCTTAATCTTATTAAATGTCTGTTTTTTAGGCTCTTCTTGTTTGTGGTCCTTGAATGTATGTGCAGAGTAAAGATAAATCTAGAAGGAGATGATTTCCTAAGCAATTAAATTGTATGTTTTTTTGCTTTTTAGATTTTTCTGCTGCAGTGGAGATAATAGTAGGAATATTATAGTAATAATTATATAGCTGTAGGGGGTATACAGCACAAAATGTAAAAAAACCCAAACAAGCAACAAGTCCCCCATTTTAGGTTTAATTTTTAATTCGATTTTCAGCAGTTAAGCTTTCAGACCTCTTCTGCCTTATCTCTGCGTTCTCCTCCTTGAGACATTCTCACCATAACTGCCAATAACTTGCAGATTACTGTGCTGCCTTTGTAGTCGGATAATGTTCTTGGGGGAACAGCCAGATCTTCTGCTCCATTCCTAGGTTCTGCAAGGTGACAGGATGTTCTGCAAAATCAGGGTGGTTTTTTTTATGGCTAGGTTGAAAACGAAGAAGAATCTGTGGCATGATTGACTGCTGGCTAAACACAGATAGTTCTACCTGACTACGTCACAAGTGTTTGACTGGTTTTGCTCCATTTCTTCACTGTCTGGGTCCTAGAAATGCAGGGCAAAGCTCTCAATTGGTTTGTTTCAGGGCCTTGTTATTTTGGCCCTTTCTTATCCAAGATTAACGGACTATAAAATCTCTTCTCAAAACTGATTTGAGAATGATTTTGACTTGATTTTTTTTTTTGTTCAACTGATGTTTTTATATTCAGAATTAATACACTGAATGAGTATCATTTGGAAGGTCAGTAATTCATCTCCCATTCATCTCCCTCTGTGGGAAGTGCAGTAATTCACTGCTGCAATTTAATTTGTAGCTTGGCTACTTGAGGAGATATAGTTTAGATACTTGATCACTACATTAAAAATATTATATTACCCATGCAATGAGTTACGCATTATCTCCATGTCTTTGTCTCTTTCCATGTCTTTGTCTCTTTCCGCCTATCATCCATTCAGGCTGTTTAATTTCAGAAGACCATTTTTACTGTGACTGCTGAACTACAGTACTGCAATGGAAACAGTTCTTGAATGCATCTAAGAAATAGATGCGTTCTATTCTTCTAAAAGAAAATAATGGCAGGAGACAGGTCGCCTGAATGCTAGGCTTTGTTAAACTTACAAAACAGAAAGAGTGCTAATGTTATGCTCGAGAATGACAAGGGTGACTGCTTGTTGTTAACCAAGGAGGTTTTGTCTTCCCATTTTTGTTTCTTAAGATTTTGTCTCCCACTCTGGTTCTGGTCTGTCTTTTCCTTTTTTTTTTTTTTTTTTTCTCTTTTCCATTCCTTTGGCTCTTTTCCACAAGCTTTCTTGCTGCCAAAAGCTTAAAGATAAGACACAAGATTTTGCACTATATGCATAAAACGACTGGCTGGGGCTGCTCTAAACCCCCTCAGAAATGCTCACAGTTCATTGAAATTTGTGAGAGTCATTCCATCGATTCAAGCATCCACTGAATTAGGTCTTTAGTCTGATGCTCTTTAGGGTGTCAGGGCTAGCTAGAGATGTGAAGTGTTTTGTTCAAACATTTTCAGAGTCCTCAAGCCATATTTTTGCTATGTTGCTTCCTCGGAAGCATTAGGGAATCCCACGTGCAACTTTATAAAATAGATCTCATTGCCCTTTACTCTGGACTTGGCCTTCTTGAATTGCTGACTTGAGATTTTCTTTGCTTTTTTTTTTTTCAATGTCTGCAAAATCTATGTTTCTGAATTTTATTTTTTTTAGACCCAATGGTTCTAATCTCTTCCATGCTCCCTGGGAAGAAAACAGCATCACTTAATATTTAGGGAAGGTTGCGGTTTCTGACATGTGCTTTATTGTTGTTTTGGCTGCAGAGTATATCCTTGTTCTTACAGATAATGGTAGTAGAATTGGTTTCTGGTTCCTTCTTGTGAGCTATGCAGCAGAAGTTACAAGAACAACAAATGTCTATATAGTATAAGTTGGTGCTGAAATAAAGAGAAGTTAAGGAATAAGACTGGGGAGAAGTTCCCTGTTTTCCCATCAGAGGCCTGAATGGGCCTCCCGCAGACATGCTGATGAAATTTGTTTTTCCCATCTCAATGACTGCATGTTGAAAGAAAAGAGTAGTCCAAGGACCAGCCACCTCAGCCGGAAGACTTCAGATGCAGAACTACATGGCTCTGCAGTATGGCTTGAGTTTTGACTAGAGAGACTGTTCTGAGTGAGTCCTGGTGAGGCCGCACCTCGAATACTGTGTTCAGTTTTGGGCCCCTCAGTACAAGAAGGACGTTGAGGTGTTAGAGCGTGTCCAGAGAAGGGCAACGAGGCTGGTGAGGGGTCTGGAGAACAAGTCTCATGAGGAGCGGCTGAGGGAGCTGGGGTTGTTTAGCCTGGAGAAAAGGAGGCTGAGGGGAGACCTCATCGCTCTCTACAACTACCTGGAAGGAGGTTGTAGCGAGGTGGGTGTCGGTCTCTTCTCCCAAGTAACAAGCGATAGGACAAGAGGAAATGGCCTCAAGTTGTGCCAGGGGAGGTTTACGTTGGACGTGAGGAAAAATTTCTTTACTGCAAGAGTGGTTAAACATTGGAACAGGCTGCCCAGGGAAGTGGTTGAGTCCCCATCCCTGGAAGTATTTAAAAGACATGTAGATGAGGCGCTTAGGGACATGGTTTAGTGGGCATGGTGGTGTTGGGTTGACGGTTGGACTCGATGATCTTAGAGGTCTTTTCCAACCTTAATGATTCTATGATTCTGTGATGGAGGCTGACTCTTGTGAAGGGGCTGGAGAAGGTATCCTCAACCCTAACGCAGGTGTTAGACCCAAAAAGAAAAGAAAACACAGAATGATATTGCTCTGTTGTGAGAACTCTCCTTACATATGTTCCTTAGTTCCTTGTGAGTCGCTGTTGAAGTGCTTCTCAAACTAATTTCAGGTGTGGAACTGCTGTACCTTGGAAAGCAGAGTTACAGTTGTCTTTTTGAAGGTCCTCTATGCTTCTTTATTTTACAAAGCAAACCGTGGTGCAAGAGAGAATGATCTTTATTTGTGTTGGTCTGTATTAAATATTTGACTGCGGAAATGTGGGTGCTGTGCCAATCAGTATGATAAATACATCTTCTTTCTTTAAGAAGGTAACAGCTGAAGAGGTACCTGATAACTCTGCCCTGTTACAAGATGCAAAGAAAGATGACAAACAAGGTATTCAAATAAATCACTTCCCCCTCCCCCCTGTTATGGGTTAAGTTCTGTGTGTTATTAGTAATTCCATATATTTGCTGACAGAAGCAATAGTATTTTTAATTTCTAAGCTGGCTATGTGTTGCTATGGATTTAAAAGCAAGACATTGCTTTTAAATCATTGACAGCAGCTGAGTTGAAGACAAACAAATGGATGTGTTTGCTTGAAAATTAGTTCTGTAATATGCAAATGATATGAAATGCACCTTCTAAAATATATGTAGCCCTGAGACAATTAATGTTGCAGTTCTTATTTTAACAAAGTTGTAATTGTTGTTACCAGGAATTTTGTAAGAGTAAAGACTACATTGTGCCAAACTTTGGATTTCCCTTTTTGCAGGAAATAGCAACGCTTCAAAATTAGTTTTTATTCCTATTAAAGAAAAACCCAACCTGTATTTTCTTGCAAAACAAAAGTTTTGGATAAACTGGATTGAAAAGACTCGATTCATTATTTCCCTTGAAATCCATCAGCAGCAAGCCATGTGAAATTGAAGTGATCTTTTTCTTCTTCCACTCAGCAGCTACTAGGGCTTCCAGAATTGGTGCTAGATCATCACACAGTCATTCCCTTTTACATGCCCTTTCCCTGACCTTTCAGGTTCTCTGTGGAAACAAAACAGTTGTGGGTATTTTGTTGCCTTATTCTCAGAGCTGTGGATTATACATTAATAAAAAAAAAATTACACATCTTGACCTCCCAGCTGTCCACATGCTGAGGTTGCATCAGAGCTGTGAGACCAGGTAGTCTACATTCCTGAATCACCTTCCACACCCAGGTGTGACCGAGTTTAGCAGATTCCCAGTGTCCCTGGTTCAAAGAAGGATTGTCAGAGTTGACAGGTGTTTGTAAAACATTTTGACAAGTCAGCATATTCCAAGAAATTCATGTTTTGTTGACAAGGTTTGTTTTGTTGTAAAATTCGTAATGGACAAGAGCAGGACTTGAACCTTGAAGGTTATTGCTTTCATGTGTCTAGGGCAGATTTACTTTTTACTCAGGGAATCTTTTTTTCTTCCCTGTGTAGGTGAAAAACTTGTGCTTTGCTCTTGGTAGCTGACATGTTAAGTCAGATGGGAAGCTGCTTTGGTACATGCAGTCCTTCAGGGCTGAAGATTTGCTGTATTTATGACATGGATTCCTACCTTTTCAGCCAAAGAACAAGTGCTCTTGTTCTACCATTTATTGCTATTCTGACAGATGGAAGAGCAGATAACTCTCCTGACTGAGGAGATCTCCCTAGAAGTAAACAACCTGTAGTTCAGGACTCGAAGCAAATTCTCCTGCATTTTCAAAACTATACAAGTAAATTAGCTCCACTCTGCCAGGTTATAATATAGTTAAATGTGGAAGATAATGTAAATAGAACTGGATCATGAGAACCAGTCTTTTCCCATGTTTTATTTGATAAAGGCAGATGGAGATGAGAGACTTCATTCCAAGTGGTCATTTATAATACTGTGTATTACGGTACATTAAAATACGCTACAATGCATTAAGAACGTCTTAAGAAAGTCGTTAATAAAGGATGCGTAGACATCAGTGGAAGGGGAATAAGCACAAAGATTGGGATTTCCTAAATTTTAACCCTGGCTCTGTCGGTGCCATATGACCTTCCCTGGGGCAGGCTGGTGAGGTTTCAGTTGCTAGAAGCAGCCAGTCTCTCATGTGCCCTGGCTTTCCAGGTTTGTAACCTGGGAGAGGTGAGTCCCAGCTCTGCTAAGTGACACCAGCTGCTGTGAGCGCGCTGCATCTCTGAAACAGAAGTCCGTGGATTTAGACACCAAAACCCCCAGTTCTCAAAATGTGGGATTATTTGGCAATTTGGGCATAGGTCTTTCTGTTCTTGACTCTTGTGCTCTTTAACAATTGTTACTTTTTTGAGTGCTTGGATGTTCTGAGGGTATTTGGCTACTTCTGTTTTCTTTTTGAGTATGTTCACCATTATTAGATGTTCTAACTAATACTGGTTTAGATGCTCGTTTCTCAGAGCTGATACCTGTAGATTTTACCTGCAAATACTTGAAGTAATTTTCATTGTTTTGGTTTTTTTTTAAGCTCTTAAAGTAAGCACTGCTCTCAAAACGATACCAAAGGAATTTCAGCACTTGACTGTGAAAACAGGTAAGAAGAAAAAAATTGGCGTTACTTCCATTAGAATTTTGATCAAATATTTTTATATCACAGTAAGCCTAAATTAATGTAATTTGATTAATTTTTTTAAGATCCTTTTGCTCTCATACTATTTTACTACCGAAATTAGCTTTTACCTCATAATGACTACTACTTGCAAAATTAATTAGTACTTCAGGTTGTCAAAAGGTTTTCTTGCTTTCTTTCCCTTGTTGTTAGCATATGTGCATTCTTCATGTGTGGGAAGTATTTTTAACATAGCATTTGGTAAGCAGTCTGAATTTTGTTTTTCTGTACTACAAATGAGATGCCAGAGCATGAATATTGTACCTCTTGATAAAAGCTCTTCTCAAGTATGGAATAAGTATTCAGTAACTATTCTGAAGTGGCCTGTTTCTTTGTAAAAACTAAGCTTTCATATTTTCTGTCAAGGAGTTTAAGGGTAGCTAGCCTTTTGGAAACACAGACCTTGTGGCACTTACAGCACTAATGTAAGCTTTTGATTCAGGGGGGCGTTTCTGTGTTGAAACCACCCCTGATTTTTCTCTCTCCAACTCCAACATACACTCCTTGTTCCTATCATACTGGAAAGTGTTATTTCTGGAATGGCATATGTCAAAATTGCTTAGTTGCTCCAGAAAGCTCCCATGCATTCAGTTCAGTTCATCAGACCTCCCTTGCCTTCCTCTTTGTTAATCTCTTTCCTAGAGTGGTAAGAGTGTTTGCAAGCCCTCCCTGGTCCCAGTCAAGCTAAAGTCTGGACTTGCTTTCTTTTCCTTTTGCATAAATGTTTTTACTTGTGAAGATATCCTTGATTAAGAAAACTGACCCCACGTGTCTGTCACAGCAGTTTTGTCTTATAGCTCGATTTATTTATGGCTGCTCAACAGCTGCATGCCTCATTTCCCAACTCTTTTTTTCCTGGCGTCTTCCCAAACACTTGGCAGCTGCCAGATTTCCTATCTTCAGCTCCTATTCTCGAATGATTGCTGCTTCTCCTTCACACACATGCACTCTTACACTTCCCTCTCAGGGGAAGAGGAGGGTGGTTGCGAGACTTTCAGTTCTGTTCTCTTCCCCGCCATTTTGCCCAGGAGTGCCCCAGGCAGCTTTATTTTCAGTTCAGCAATTCCTTCCTTCGCTTAGGAAGAAAAACTATTGTCACCTGCCCATCTCCTCTGCCACTATCCTCTTTCCTCCATGTCCTTCATCTCCAAGTCAGGGAGGTCTTCTGGATGTTGCTGTGCTCCTCCAGCAGCGCTGCTGTGTTTGTATACCAAGGGAGGTGGTGGCAGAGTTTCACCCCATCGCCATGACTCCTGTCACTGTAGGGGTTTCACCCTTGCTGTCCTGCACGTTGAGGGTTTGAGCAAGCACATTCTCAGGTTGCACGATGCGACTGATGTTAGAAGTAAAAATGTTTATGCAGTGGGCTAGATACAGCACAGTAATTGAGTGGTTATTTCGGAACTGGTCATCATTCTGAAAGGTCATTGTAATCATTAACCTTCAGGATGAAAACTCAGTTGGGATGAAGCGGGAGAAATTTTACATCCTTCTTTGGTTATCGGTTTGGGCCGTTTATGTAAATTCAGGAGAAGATGATGTTGCTGTGGTTCGTGATGGGAAAGTTTTCTTTGCCGTCAGGAGGACTAGAAATTTGAAGTTAGTAAAAACTTTATATGCTCAGCATCTCCGAATATCTGGCCAGTTTATGTAGGCTCCTAAGTGCAAGACCATTGTTGGCCTTAGACATTTAAAGGATTAAGGGCCAAATTTGTGACCGTTTAAATTGTACACTTCTGCCTAGGCCACCAATGAGAGGTAATAGATGAGTCAGTGTGGGTGATTTAAACTAGTGGGGAATTCTTGGTTTTTTCCTTAGCAGTGTAGCACACTTGCACCTTTTATGGTACAGTTTTCCATCCGATTATCAGCTTGTAAAGCAAGGAGGCACCAGCTGAGTATAAGCCGTCAGGCTACAGCCAGAAGTTACTGAGCCTGCATCCTTAGGAATGTCTAAATTAAGTTGTATTGGGAGAGGGGGGTGGGAGCAGTTAAACACCCAAAACAGGAACCTTCACACTCTCCTATGGTGTGAATGAATAAATAAGAGTTCATCATTATGTATGATTTTAATTAGTGCAGACCAGGCTGTTCAGTTCATCAGGCTCTACTACTCCAGGAATTGTACAAACTTTTAAATAATAAATGTAATTAATTTACTCAACAGCTTTAATTTTATATCAGTTTCATGTAAGTGAGGCTTATGTATCCATAGCAATAGATACACAGAAAATTCATGAACTGGATAAATAGTTTTGTATAGTCTTGAATGATTATGTCGTGTGTGTTTATAAACCTGCATCTCAAACACAAAGTTGCACAGACTGAGCGTACCAAAATAACTGCACATTTTATAGAAATCCTGTCACAATTATTTGTATGTCCTAATAATGAACTACTTGCTTTATAATATTTTTTTTATATTATACTTCTTTTGAAAGGTAAAGCTAAGTCTGGGTATTGTGTAACTGTAACCTTGAATTTCCTGATTTTTCAAAAGCTTAAAAGAAAATCCTTGGCACTAGTATTCTGTTGCTGTTCTTTTTTATTAGTAGTCATTTCGGGATTCTCTCTTCCTTGCATGCTTTCCTGTTTACCTCAACAAGATGTCCTTGGGGAGTTTGGATGTCAGTTTTACCTGCAGGTTTTTAGAAGAAAGGCTTTCTAAAAGAAGTATGAACAGAATTACGGTCTCCATAAAAGAAGGAAAATTTGAAGGTTCTTAAACATGGCTTAGTTTGGAAAGGATGTATACTTCCTATTTCTAAGTGGCGTATATTTAATAATTGTGCATGTAATTTAATAATCAGCATTTTCAGCATTGGAAAAACTGGGTCATGTGGCTGTAGGGAAGCAGTTTCTAAAGTTGTATTCTCTGGGAGTTTGACAGAGAGAGAGAGAAGGATTATCACCACTACATATTTTAATAATAATTTCCTCTCTCCCCTTTAGTTGCTAGGAAGAGTTTGTTGCACAGAAATCTGGAATGACTGTGGGCCAATTTGTCGGTGACAGTAATCTACTAGAACTTGGTTTATAAGTGTTTTTTTGTGTCACTGCCAGCTACATTTGGGTTTATTCCATCCAAAGCACCAACTAGCACTGCATGACCTTAAAAGCAGTTTCTTTTATGAAGAAATAGTGTGTGGCTAATACATGTGCCATATGCCGCTTCTTGTCTTCTGTGAGCCTAAAGCCTCCTGTGGAGGGTCTATGCAGTAGTACAATGCAAACCATTATAAAGTCAGTATTTGCCAGCTGCTACCACAGGTAGCTCCTGCTCTGTGTTTTGGAGGATCTGTTATATTCTCAAGTAGTGCTGTATAGTAGCTGGTGATAAATGTCTGACTTTGGAGTAGGCATATATCTGAAGGAAGCTAGAAACTCTGAGAATTATTGTTTTTTTCCCCAACCTACTTGCTTCTCTTAAGTGTTGTACCTTGATTAGCAGAATGGGAAAAGTACAAGGATTCACTTTGTGTGTGCGTTGGTATCATTGATGCTGCTGTAGTACCTTGAGGATATCTCAGTGGGCTGAATTTGAAAGCAATCACACAGATACGTTTTCTCAAAATTATCTGATGTTAGTAAGGAGAGTAACAGAAAAGTCACAAAAAGACTATGTAAACCAAGGAACAGCCTCGAGGAATTACGCAGAGAAGGTAAGTCAGCACTGTTGTTTTCCTGTCATGTAAAACCTGCGTGTGGCAGGATATTTGGAATTCATCCAAATAAAAGAAACCAATTTTTACATTGATAGAAATGTGTTTGATGAACATTTAGCCTGGAAAGCTTTTTACCTTCAAATATCTTTCCTTCCCAATGTCAAAGTAGTCTCAACCTGATGTGTTAATTTTGGTTTTTTATGTGTGGTAAGATGATGTATGTTTATACTAATTAGTTAAAGTATGTAGGAAGGACATAAACCTTCGTGCTTTGGGAAGCAGGACAGCTAATAGATATCTGGACTAGGAGTAAGCTGTTTTCTGTGGAAAGTTTATGCTATTCCTTATGTTGCTTTGTCACAACTACACGCAGGAGTACAGGTCAGAGCTGTCAGACCTATTGCTTTTCCTGTGTTCTGGTAGCCAAATTAACAGGTGAAGGTCTGCCTAAATGTGGACTCTTGAATTCTTAGGACATTCTACACATTCTTAGGACACACTACAAAAACAAAGGGGAAGGAGAAGCGAAAATCAATCCCCGTTTCTCACGTGAGATGAGCACGCTCTCACATCCACATTTGCAACACTCACATTTTCAATGAACACTGATCCTTCAGCTAAAGGCGTTTATTTAAAATATGATGTTTTAGTGGTTCTTTTTTTTTTTTATGTTTCAGCTGCTCAGGAATCTAATGCACTTAAAGCCAGACCACGATCCAGGTACTGCTTTCATTTCTATTTCAGGAGAAGACATACCTTCCTCTGGTGTTAGACACAATGTTTAAGAACTGGTGTTGCGTTTTTAGATTTTTTTTTTTAATTGGTGTTGTGCTGAAAGTCCAGCTCAGATAAAAGACAGATTTACCAGGAGAGATCTGTAAGCTATAGACCCTACATGAGTACTGCCTAGAGCCCTACGATTTCTGGTCGTAAGGCGCTGGGACTTTCACCTGTCTGCCCAGCCCCGCTGCCTTGTTGGGGTGGTGACTGCCTCCAGCCCTGCCCCAGGGGCATTGTGGTGGGACAGCGGGAACCACCCCATTGCAGGGAACGCACTCAGCAATTTTGTGCTGTTGAAACCTGCACAGTGGTTGCATATGGAGGGATATGCATATGCACACTCCCACAGAAACAGCAATAGTAGCTCAGCTCTCGGATGTGGGTGAATGAATCCTTTCGTTGGCGTGCATGTACTTGACTATGGCTGGTTGGTGTGTGATGGAAGGACTTACGGACTTAGACTGTTGTGAGCTAGAAATGACACCTGCTGAATTTCAATGTTTGAAAGAAAAGGGAAACTTGTGCCAGAAAACATTGTGTATAAATAGATTACGTGTTGGGTTTGGCTGTTCACCATTCCGGTGTGGAGCTGTATCGTGCATCCACCTTCAAACCTTTTTTTGGTGCTAGTTAGGGGGCTTAATTTCTTTTTCTTAGGCAATGAGAGTATAATCAGGAGCTCTCTCCTTACAAGCTTGTCAAAGCCTGCTAATAAGAGAGGATCAGCTATAAACATGATGAATGAAGATTGAAATCCTCTGTTCTTAGGACCTACGTCCAGGAAGGCTGAACTGCCTTGTGTGCTATTTTTCTGCTGCTAGCCAAAGCTTTTTAGTTTTCATACTGTTTTAAATTTTCTTGCTGTGTTACTGAATCATAAATTGCAAATATGCAAAAAATGTGTAAAAAGTATTTTATGCAAAAGTGCATAAAATAGCAAATGCTTAAACAAGTTTGAAAAAAGTCACTTGAATGTGACTACTGTGTCACATATGACTGTCTCACATCTGACTATATGTCGCTACTTCAATGCAGAAGTTGAGACTAAAGATTCCTGAGCACATCCTTGAACTCAGACCTTCTGCTGCACTTGTCCTGCGTAGCCTGGAGGGCTCTGTAACCTCGAAGATCTCTGTCTTCATGTGTGCCTGACCACTAGAGGCTACAATTCGAGTCTGTTACAGCTCTCAGCTCTGGAGCCTGGCTTTCTAGCCTAAGCTGTGCAGATTCTTAGCTGCTGACTTAACTGACTTTTAGGTGCCAGGTCCGCCTGCCGCAAGCAACAGTTCACTGTCACAGGGCTCTGTGTTGGCACTGCTGGGGCAGGCATATTTCTGCCTGGTAGCTGCTATCTTACTCGATCTTGTAAAGAAAAAAAAAAAAAAAATCTCAAACTGTCAGGTTGTACAATTTTAATGCAAGTAAAATATACACCGCATAATATGGAAAGTAAAAGTATAAAGATATAAGATCCTGGTTCAAAACTTTCCCATTTATTTCAGGGTGGCTGGCTTAGGTCTGATATGGTAAGGCTGTGGAATTCAAAACTCTACCAAGACAAAAAATTCAGCATCAGCAGAGGTTTTTGTCACATGTAAATTTTGAAGCACTTACGGCTTTCACTCCTGTATTTGTTAAAGTTTACATCAAAAACGTAGGATCAGCATTGCCAAATGTCTGTCCTGCTAAAGAGCTGTTTTGTAACAACAGCCTGTTTGGCAAAAAAAAGATCTCTTTCCCATTAGTGGGAGTTATTTCTGTTCTACTTGAATGTGTTTTTGGTCTTGCCTGTCATGCGTAATGTGTTACAGTAAGTGTAACATCTCACATTGTCAATGCTCATTTTGAACAAAGCTCTCGGTCTTGCAGAAAAACTGGTAACTACAACAGCTGAAAAATATTGGACACTATTCAGCAAAATCAAAATTCTTAGCAAATGCACTGCAGTGGGATTAATGGGTTGTGGAAGGGCCTAGAAAGGTGTACCAAGACATGTATTTGACCAGTGTTGATCACTTTGGAGTCATTCAGTTTTTCTGGATTTTGTGGAATTTGGTGACTGTTTGCTATGAAAAAATTGTTCTGATAGTTAGAATACTATAAATTACAGAACGTGTACTTGCAAGAGATAGGTTGAAGCTGTACCTACCCTTGCAGTGGGGAAAGGCAATAGAAACTGTAAGGGGGTGGAATTTTTCTACTCAAGTTTATTCAAAATAGTTGCTACAATTATCCTGTTGACAGTTAAAGTTACGTAAGAAGGCCTGAAGCTGTGATATAAAAGGCCTTAAAAAATACTAGCCCTGTAAGCATGACCCGTGCCTTTCGCAGACGTGTAGGTCCCTCTGTTGCCAAATAAATCTGTTTTGTTATAAGGGGGAACTTCTAGTCATTAGGGCAAGGAATTTCCACCATGAACCTGAGTTCTGGTCAGTGCATTTTTAGGTACTATTCACTGTAGTTGTTTGAAATGAATTTCTGAAATAAAATATTTTCTGCTCCCCCCCCGCCCCGTCCCTTTCCTCCTTAGGTCTTATTCTAGCACATCAATAGAAGATGCTATGAAAAAGGGAGAAGAGCCCCCTACTCCACCTCCAAGGCCACAGAAATCACATTCCAGAGCTTCCTCTTTGGATCTGAACAGAGTATTTCAACAAAACACACAAGGTAAAGTTTGCTTGCTTTCCCCCTTTTGAGACCATTTAGGTTAGCTGCATACTTGGCAACTTGATCTGTTTGCACAAATGCTTGACAGTATGTGCATATGCTCACCTTTGCTATAGACAGCAATACTCAAGAAGCTGCACTTTCTTGCATTACATCATCATGAGGGGAAAAAATCACTGTTGCTGTAATTAAGGTGATTATAATGTTTTCTGGCACGATAATGGGAAGCTTAACATATGGTAGTCTGTCATCACTGAGTATAACTAGTCTGGCTGTTTAGACAATTCTCATCAGTTACTACAATATATTTGATTTTTATTACTATTAGTTTTTTGTAGTTCAGAAGCAGGAAGAAAACCCTTAATGTTTAAACTGGGAGAAAGTAAAATTTCTCATGTGCAAATATTTTTGATGTTAAAGCCTTCCATATGCTTGGGGGCAATCAGAAACCATTCTTTGAGTAAAAAGAAAGGGTAATTTCTTTTGACACGGGTGCATGTTGAGGGGAGAGAAAGAAAATGTAGAATAGTAGCTGGAGTGAACTGAAAGAAAATGGCTCTCCAGCTCGTTAGTGTTTGAGCGGTCCTTTTGCGTTGCACAGTGAGCGGTGGAAAGAGGAGCTGTTTGTTCATGGCAGCAGTCACCTAGCATCGCTGTGCTTTAGCAGTGTCCTTGAACCAGACCAGAGCTTTAGGCGGCGCACACCGATCATCTGACTCAAGGACTAGGTTAAACACAGTCATGTTTATGCTTCAGAAGAAAGCCAAGTTTTGACTGTGTCAAGGAATGTTTTAACTGGGCTCTCTAATGTGGTTGTTGGAGTAGAAAAGAAAGAGTTTCACCTCTTGCTATATGGGACTTTTTTTTTTGTGCAAACACCAGACAGAATTCAAGAGTCCTGCTATGTGTGCTGAACCCTGAAACTCAATAGGAATAAACATTTTTTTTCTGCCTTACACAGAGAAGCGATTCCTGATCTTTGACTGTGGTTCCTGTTCAGGGATCCATTGCCTCCAATTTTGATTTCATTATACATCAAAATAAAACCCCGAACAGAGCCAAGTACACATTTTCTAAGGCAGCAAATCCTCTCAGAATCCAGATAAAAAGTATAACTGGAAGGAAATAAACTTGGATTTCAGTTTCTCTTGGAACACAAATGAAAGGAGAATGTAAATTCTCAAAGAAGTCTTTCTGTGAATGAAATGTAACATCTTGCTTTTGAAATGGATTGTTTTGAAAGTCACCATTACTTTTGAAGTAAAGTAATGATTTCTTCTGGGCAACTTACAAACTGACAGTGTTATAGTGAGTGCAGGGAAGGATAACTCGTCCTATCAATACTTTTTGGAGGGTTTCCTTACTGGAAATGGGGCGATTAAGTAAGGATATGCAGTTGATTGGTTGCAAATAAAGAAAGTGCTTTGGTCACCCTAAAACTGTTCATCATATGCGGTTCAAATTTACCACTGTTTATAGTTGGAACAAAAATTGGTGCTAGGTTGACAAAACCTGAAGTATAGTGTGCTACCAAATTGCAGAAATGTGGAAGGTCTCCCAGAGGTTCAGCTTCCTCCTGTACCTGCAGTGTGTTGGCCTGTCATTTTTTGGTCTCCTGGATGTGCCCTGATGGCAATGCTAAATATTTGTGGTGGTCGTCTTCCTCTAATGGAGCTGCTCTATTTTGTGTCAAAAATGTAAATACTCATTGGGAAAGAATAAGAAGGAATTTGTAGCCTTGAGGGATTCAAGGAAGAACTTGTTAAAAAATTTGTAGCCCACCCTGAAGAAGGGTTCCAGTTCAAATAAATCTGCATCATTAGAAGGAGAGGATTTAAATCAACCCATCCGAGCTCACCCAAGTACGATGGTGCATTTACCTTGCTCTGCTTTGAAGTAAAATGTCGGCATTGGAAGTCATATTTTCAGTTCTTCGTTCCATGAAGAAACATGTGCATGCTCTTCCCGGTCATTAGGCCCTGAATAGCTGTTATTCTGCAACCTCCTATTGATAATGTGGTTTTATACAGCTGCTTTCTTTTCTTCCACTTCTCTTGTTTTGATCACCTCACTTTTTTCATCCTTTTTTTCATCCTTTTCCCTACTGATCTTGCTTCTCAGTAGAAATTCCAGTCTCATCATTTTCAGATACCTTTTTCATCTAGAGACAGTTCTTCCTCAGGGAGTGGTCATTTTTTCGGAGCCAAACTCTTTGCCGAGGTGCACTTTGCACTTTTTGAAAAGGCGGTTTGTAGGAAGACAGAGGGACCGAGCGCTGTCACCTTAAACTGAAGAGCCTCGCCGAAAAGAAAGTGTGTGTGCGTGTTTGTGTGAAGTAAATTGCACACAGTTGTATAATAACAAGCTGCATTCTTATTTCTGCTGAGAGTGTAAAAATGAATACACTCCAAAAACTATTCTAAACCAGAATAGTTTCCATCTGCCATCAGAAGATACAGTTACAGATTTACAATATAGATGATGTAATGTCAATGTACTGTTTAGGTTTCTTGGCTATTGGGATAATACAGCCTGGCATAAATATCGAACCTGATGTGTTTCTATCCACAGGTCAGCTGATTACTTTCTGTCCTAGTGTAGTCTTGACTGAATTTTTGCTTTACGTTTTCCCCCTGCCTGCCTTCCTTCCTAGGTTTTCAAAAATAGTCTCATTGTCACAGCTGAATTACAAAAATTAGCTAGAATGACCATCCCTTCTAGCACCACCGTATTGCCTAGTGTCAGTACAGAAAACCAGACTGTAAAATCGACCATTTTAATAGCTTTCAGGTTATATCCAACATGATTAGAATAATCCCATTTTGGTACATCAGTTTTTGTCCTCCTCATTCTTGTTCAGAAATAATTCTGATTTTGGAATTTTGTTGGATAATCTGCTCCCAGACCTGCAAAGGAGTGCTCAGTAGTATTGAGTTTTGTTTTCAGTTCCTCGTTGGTCATGTTCATCTTATAGGCATCACTTCTTTAATTGTACAGCTATCAGTGGTTTGGAGCATTTTTTTGTTTATTTCATTTTTAAAGGGCAGAAAAAGAAAAATCTCTTTTCTTCAAGTAAATTCAGCCAAAGACTGTGGCAGATCCTTGTTGCGGGCACTGGGTTTTTTGGGGGGTGTTTTTATTTGTTTTTCATTTACTGCTATATCATGTTTGCCACCATCTTATGATGCCCCTCTCCTGGTAAGTATACACAGAGAAAATTTATGCATGATGGCTGAGATGTCCAGCAATGCATTAGCCACAGAAACTGTGCTTTAAAATTGTTGAGTTGGGACATAACTGCACTTGAAGGAGATGCTTTCATTCATACTCCGTAGCTGCACTCTTCTGGGATGCTGTAAGTAGTGTTACCCAGGAAAAACTTAAAAAAACAAGAGAACTTGTTGAAAGGCTCCACCTTCTGAGATGTCCATACATGAATTTCTGTTAAGAGATGTTAAGAGACAGAAATATCTTCTTTTTTTTTTTTTAAAATCATGTAGTCTTTATGTTAGCATCTGTGAGAATCTAGCAGTACTGAATTTTTCTATGTATTTGTTGAATATATAATCTCTGGCATTCGGCCTGTGTACATATTAAGAAAATACTTGGCTAGGTTTTATGCATTGCTGGAAAGACAACGGCAGGTTTTAAGTAGAAACAAAAATGTCAGTTTAAACGCATACATGACCTGGTTTACATCTTCACTTCTCTAGCCCACTTTCTAGTCAGATACAAGCCAAGAGCTCCCAGAGTAAGACCTGGGAGCCTATGGCCCGCAAAGCTTTCCTGCACTGTTCGCAAAGTTCGTTTGCAGAATTAATTGCTCTCTAGGGCTTCTTGCGCTCCCTTCTGTCTGTCCTGCGATCTGGGTGAGGGAGGAGGTATTGAGGGGGCCAAAATTGCCACAGGTCGGAGCCCGGCAGTCCTGCAGCAAGGCCCCCAGCCACCTTTTACCCTCAACAGGAGCAGTAAGCTAGGGTCTGCCTTGGGGTAACTCTGGGACTGGGGCAAGTCTCAGCTTAAGTATTAAAACACCAAAATGCATATCTTGTCTTCTGGTGTTCTGCTTGGTTACGTTTTCTGCCCATGACAACTACTAAAGAATTTACTTCTGGGCAATTATAGGCAGTGACAGCAATCTGGGTCTTGTTAGATGGATACAGATGCCTCTGAAATACATTTTATTTCCCATTTAGTTTCATTTCTGAATTGCATAACTTCTAATTAATAGTTCTGTTGAACAAAGGATACTTGTTTGGAAAAGAGAATTTGCTTTGATGGAACAAGAAAATTGTCATAAACAGTGTCGTTTCATGTTGATATGGAAGCAGATTGAATATCTCTGTGTAATTCATCAAAACAACCATTTAACTATTTACAAATGAATTTTTGACTGAAGGTTTTTAGCACTCATTTGCTGTTGAAACTTGCCTCCTGCTGTGGCTGTCCCTGCAGTGAAGAACGTGTGGAATGCAGGCACCATTTCTTATGTGCCTCACTTGTCATAGTTTAACCCCAGCTGGCAACTAAGCACCACACAGCCGCTTGCTCACTCCCCACCAGTGGGATGGGGGAGAGAATCAGAAGGGTAAAAGTGAGAAAACTCGTGGGTTGAGATAAAGACAGTTTAATAGGGAAAGCAAAAGCCACGCACGCAAGCAAAGGAAAACAAGGAATTCATTCACTCCTTTCCATGGGCAGGCAGGTGTTCAGCCATCCCCAGGAAAGCAGGGCTCCATCACGCGTAACGGTTACTTGGGCAGACAAATGCCATCACTCCGAATGTCCCTCCTTCTTCCCCGAGCTTTATATGCTCAGCATGACATCATATGGTGTGGAATATCCCTCTGGTCAGTTTGGGTCAGCTGTCCCGGCTGTGTCCCCTCCCAACTTCTTGTGCACCCCCAGCCTACTCGCTGGTGGGGTGGGGTGAGAAGCAGAAAAGGCCTTGGCTGTGTCAGCACTGCTCAGCAGTAACGAAAACACCCCTGTGTTATCAA